CAACTCAAACTTTATTTCAAATGCGCTGAGCAGACTAAGAACAATCCATGCCACTTGATAGAAGGATCAAGCTCAAAATTCCAGGAATTCATGGTATATTGTATTTTTGGAGTTCAAAATTCCAAGAAGGTTACTTTGTCAAGCAAAATACCGACAAATGATAGAATCAAATAGATTAACGGTGTTAGACGAGCAAGCTGGTCCGAACAGCTATGCATATCGTAGACTGATTCTTTACACAATTTTTCTATTTTAGAAAGCTCTTATTAGATGACCTTGTGTCAGACGAAACTAATTTTGGTCAATATGAATGAAACAATAAATAAATATAATTTACTAAAAATAAATATCAATATTTATTTATTTTTTGTGACGGTAAAGGAAGCAGACCAACCAATCAAAAAAGAAGACGATTTATAAATAATTTAATTTTAATTAGCTTTGAAACAGGAAGAAATGGTATCTTTATGGAGGAGATGAATTGGGAACTTTATTGGACTTCGCCAAATTCAGCGGAAGGTTTTGGCATCTTTTTTTAAAATCATTTCATCCAAAACATGCCACTAAGACGCAAGGGGTTACTGTGAAAGAAAATGAGAAAACATTATTGAGGAAAAAGAACAAAGAAAAGAAATAGATTTAACGTGACAAAAATGACGGGTGACTTTTCATTAAAATTCTTGAAGATTGACCAAATATGTGAACAACGACGAATTACTAGAGATACTGGCAGCAAAAGGAAAACATATTTATCATCAGGAAGAGACAGCGGATATTTCTAGTACACATAGTGAGGAAAGCTGGCTCGGAAAATCTGATACTCACAGGACAGATTGAAAGTAAGAGGGACAGAAGAAAACAACGCATAACCTAGTGAGCTCGAGTAAATGGATGAATGAGCAAGGTTTAGGAGAGATAACAAAAAGACAAAAAAACAAAAAAATTTATGAAGAGCTACAAAGGATAGGAAGTTGCGGAGAGTCATAATCGCCAACATCCTGAAGGGACACGGCACATAGAAAAACTAGAATAAGCTTGATGGCGGAACAAGGTTTAAGAGAATTAACAAAAAAACAAAATTTATTAAAAGCTACAAAGAGCAGGAAATTGTGGAGAGCCATGATTATCAACAGGGACATGGCATTAAAAAGAAAGTTAAGAAAGTCTAAGAGAAGGATTACTCTGAATTCAAAACCTTGGAGAAGGCAATGGCAAACTAATTCCCTATCTTTCCCAAGAATAAATGGCAATTCACCGATGATAACGAAAAAGGAATGTGTGGAGAGCCATGAACGCCTTGATACTGAAAGGACATGGCATTATAAAGAAAATGAGGAAAGTCTAAGAGAAGGACTACTCTGAATTCAAAACCTTGGAGAAGGCAATGGGTAACTACTTCACTATCTTTCCTAAGGATACATGGCAATTCACAGATAATAAAGAAAAGGGAATGTGTGGAGAGCCATGATCGTCTACGCCCTGAATGTGTCGACAAAGAAGGTATTCAACAAAAAAACTGATTTCATTTAATATCTGAAAATCGGAAGTTGCCATGATTTTTGGGAGGAAGAATTTGCATTTGTTCTTCGCCTCGACTAAATTCTCCATCAAGGCTAGATAGAACAGAAAAAATTGAAATTATTTAAATTAAATAAAATTCCCTCCCCTTATTTTGCCGAATACTGAAGGCATTTATTAAAACAATTCCTTGTGATAATATATAAGCGGAAATACATTGACATATGATGTACATGTGCGTCTTTGCATTGAATACTGTTGCCATATATGGTCAGGTGTCCCCGCTGTTCATCTCGAGATCCTCGACAAAATCCAGAGACGGATATGCAATATGATAGGTCCTGATCTAGCATCTCGTCTACAGTCACTTTCTCACAGATGTGCTGTGGCTTCCCTCTGTCTTTTCTACAAATATTCTCATGGCAACTGCTCTGGCGAGCTACTTTCTCTGGTTCCCAAACTGCATGAATTTAAGCATGCTACTAGGTTGCCATCTCGGTCCCACCCTTTCACTGTCGAAACTCCAACAGCTTCTTATCTCGCACTTCCTGACAGTGTAACTCCTTTCCTGATAGCTATAATCTTCGAATTTTCAAATGTGATGTCAATCGACATCTTCTAATGCCTTGATCCTGATCCACGTCCTTCTCTATATCCTTTCCTCAAACACCCCTCTTTACTCTAGCTCTCATTCTCTGTAACCCCTTGCGTGCTGGTGGCACCTCCTCCCCCTTGCTTGGGGTGAAATGCTTAAAAATATAAATAATAATAACAACGCCAAGTAGGATCTTATGAAACTTTATTAGACTACGTCAGCTTTCGCGCTGAAAAACGTTATAATTATTTATTTCATGTAATAGATAGTTACCAGGGAGAGGAGGGATGGGGGTCTGCTTATATTATTACAACAACAACGACAATAATAATAATAATAATAATAATAATAATAATAATAATAATAATATGGGCATATACAACATAACAATCCCTGTTGTAGTTGGAGCCCTCGGACTGGTTGGAAAAGATTGCAGTAGACTAATTGAAGGGATTCCTGATTCTCCATTTAAAAGGAGATACAAAAAATTGTTCTTTTGTTATAGCCCACACCTTACGAAGGGCTTTATCTATGTAATTTAATTTTTTTTTTATCAGTGGAAAATATCATGATGCCATTTTCTTACCTTAGGTCCCTAGGCAGGACCCGGAAAGAAATGAATAAACGCCAGAAATCAAAGGAAATAATAATAATAATAATAATAATAATAATAATAATAATAATAATAACTAACCTGGTCGCGTCACCAGGTATGGTTCTCATCACATCTTAACTGATTTCAAGTATTAACATATTCATCTTTTGATTTGATGAATTAAAATGGTATACAGTAAATATCCCGTTAAGTACTACATGTTTGCAAATCAGGTGCCTGGCCATAACAATTTGGAAAAATTCTCAAAGCTTTGCGTGGCTCTTTTTATTTTTTTTTTATTTTTTTAAATTGTTGGATGAAGCAGACAAAGCGACTTGAAAGAAACGTGTAGATATTTGGGAACAACCTCAATCAGGTTCCGTCTGAGCAAACTTTCAGTATAGCCGATAAAAAATGTGGGACCCCAACCCTACATCCGGGTGTTTTTGTCTCTAGAAGGACTGCTACATAAATTTAATAGACAGTCAATTTTTTAAATGGCCAAGTAAATTTCATAATCATCATCATCATCATCTTTCGACCACCCTATGGTTGATCGGAACGCCATTGACAATCCCTTTCTATACTGTTCGGTCCTGCATTGCTGTCTCCTGATCCCCCATGTCCAACCCTGAGTCCCGAGCTCTTGTGTCTGGGAAAGTCAATTTTCTTGAGAAGACACTTCCAGAAGGATGCCATAGAAGTAAGGATGAGACGATTTCCCTTTCCGCTCGGTGACAGTGGCTTGCAAACAGTAATCATTTTTAAATGGCCAGGTAAATATAATCATCATCCTTTGACCTCCCTATGCTTGAAACTCCACTGATAATTCCTTTTCACACTGTTCGGTCCTGCATTGTTGTCCCCAGATCCCCAATGTCCAACCCTGAGTCGCGGGCTATGATGTCTGGGAAACTCAATTTTCGCGAGAAGACGCTTCCAGAATGATACTATAGGAGTAAGGATGAGACAATTTCCCTGTCTGCTCGGTGGCAGTGGCTGGCAAATGGTAGGAACTGGGTCAGCAGAGACTGAAGCCCTGATGCAGTTAGTAGACATTATGATATATCTTTTGGTTAGCTGACACAAAATGTGGGACGCCAACCCTACATCCGGGTGTATTTGTCGAGACTCCATCTCTAGAAAGACTGCCACATAAATTTAATAGACACTCAATTTTTTTAAATTGTGAAAAATGGCCCCCAAAACATAAACAAAATATAAGGAAACATAAACAAAATATTAAGAAAGCTGATTTGAATATACTGGGATCCACTTGCTAGGTGATGCGCTGCCCTTATGAAAACCTGTCACCATGTCGCGCAAATTTGTCTCCGTTGCACGTGTAGGTTAATTTGGTGCGCCGAAAATGCGCCCACAAATTGTTGATAGACGTAGTAATCAGACCCGTGACTTCTAACTTTTCGGTAATGTTTCATGTTCTCCAATAATTATGGGTATTATTGTTGGTTTTATATTACGCAAGACAGGAAGAAACTGGAGAGTAAGGAGAGGTGCAAAAGAATAAAAAAAGATAAAAGGAGAGCGAAAATGATTGAGGGTAAAGGAGAGCGAAATGATTTAAAAATGAGAGCCAAAAAAGATTTAGAAAAAAGGACAGAGAGAAAATAATTTCTAAATTGAGCAAAAATGATTTAGAAAAAAGGAGAGCGAAAATGATTTTAAAAAGAAGAGCAAAAATGATTTAGAAAAAAGAGAGAGAAAATAATTTTAAAAACGAGAGCAAAGATGATTTAGAAAAAAAAGGAGAGCAGAATGTTTTAGAAATGAGAGCAAAAATGATGTAAAAACAACAAAAATAATTGTAAAAAGGAGAGCAAAAATGATTTAGAAAAAAAGAAGAGAGAACGTGATTTTAAAAAGGATATCAAAGATGATCTAGAAAAAAGGAGAGCAAAAATAATTTTAAAAAAGGGAGCAAAATGATGTAGAAAAAACGAAAGAGCAAATAATTTTAAAAAGGAGAGTAAAAATGATTTAGAAAAAAGAAGAGAGAAAATAATTTTAAAAAGGAGAGCAAAAATGATTTAGAAAAAAGGAGAGCAAAGATGATTTAGAAAAAAAGGAGAGCAGAATGTTTTAAAAGTGAGAGCAAAAATGATGTAAAAACAATGAAAATAATTGTAAAAAGGAGCGCAAAAATGATTTAGAAAAAGTAGAGAAAAATTATTTAGAAAAGGAGAGCAACAAAGATAAAAAGGGAGTAACAAAGTTTAGAAAGAGTGATAGCAACAAAGTGTACAAAAGAGAGAAGGAGAGAGCAGTAAAGTATTAAATCAGGAAGAAGAAAAAGGAAAATAGAAAACGAAAGTAAAAAGAAAACAGTGTGTGAAAAGCGACGAAGAGAAGGATGATGTCAGAAGGAAAAAGGGAGAGGAAAGGAGAATGAAAAGGGAGAGGAAAACAAGAGGAAGACAGAAGGAGGAAATCAGAGAGAAGGAAATGAAAAAAATTGGGAGAAGGAAAGACAAGAAAAATAAGAGAAAAGAATAGAAGAAAAACAGAAAGAAACAGAGCAAAAGAGAGGGAAAAAAAGAAATAGTGAAGGAAAAGGAGAAGAAAAATAGAAAAGAAAAAAAGAGTGACGAAAAAAGAGGCGATATTAAGTAGAGGAGAAGAATATGATACAAAGGGAGAACGAAAAAGGAAAGGAGGAAAGAAAATGAGAGAGAGAGAGAGAGAGAAGCTAACAAAAAAGAGAGAGGAGAAAAAGAGAATGAGAAGAGAAAAAGAAGGAAAAAGAGAAGAGACAAAGAAACAAAGAGAAGGGAAATGAGAGAGAGAGAGAGATAGAAAGAGAGAGAGAGAAGCTAATAAAAAAACCTCAAAAAAATGAGAAGAAAAAAGAAGGAAAAAGGAAGAGACAAAAAAAACAAAGAGAATAAAAGAGAGAGAGATAGAAATATAAAGATAGAGAAGAATAAAAAAAAGAATTTGCAAAATGTTATGAGAAGAAAAAAGAAGGAAAAGAAAGAGACAAAGAAACAAAGAAAGGGTTTTGAGAGAGAGCCTATATGAAAAGAGAGAGAAGAAAGAGAAAAACTAACAAAAAAGAGAAAAGAGAATGAGAAGAGAAATTGAACGAAAAAGAGAAGAGACAAAAGAAAGAAAACAAAGAGAAAAGAGAGAAAAAGAAGAAAAAGAGAAAATAAAATAAAGAAACGAAGATATTCAATCCCCGGTGAGGATCAGTTTTGAAACATTTGAAGAAAAAGAAAAAGAAACAAAAAACGGGGGTAGAGAGAAGAAGGAGGAATCTGTTGTCGCCATCAGTTGTGGCAGCAAGAGAATGCAGATGTAACGAGTGTTGCACGATTGCTAGCTATTGCTCCTGCTACTGCACATGCAAATGGAGATCTCCTACCATGTGCAGCTGTAAAAACAGTAAGACGTTCACACCCACCCGGGTGGAGCAT